CCCCAAAACCCCAAAACCCCAAAACCCCAGAAATAAATATATCGTTGAAATTTGAAAATTAAAATCTTGTTAATTGAAAATCAGTACTTATTGAGGAATGTTGAAATAATTGTTCTCTCTTCCTCTGAAATAATTTCAAAATCAATGATATATAACAGTCTATTTGACAAAAGCATTTACTTCTTAAGCTTTTTGAATACATCTATAAGATTGATTAAAATATCAATATCTTACTACAGAGGAATACCAAGAGAATAAAAAATGTTATTAGAATAAATATCCCAAACACCATTAAAAATGTAAGCAAGTTTTTGTCAATATTAATTATGATACTATCAACTGCTAGTATGAGGAATTATTTATAACCTGAGTCTAAAAGTGCTTCTATTGTGTCTAATAAATCACTGAGAGGAGCATAAAGTTATAATACTGTTTGCTCAGGCAGACCTGCTGGTGTTTGATGAATTAAATTATCGAAAGTAATCTTCTATTGATTAACCGCTTTATAGACTGTCTAATAAATGTTTGTTAATCCAGTATCTGCTATATTGTTATAATAAGCTTTGCAATCATCAGGAGAAGCTTCATTTGTCTCTCCAGACTAAGTTAATGCATCAGCCACAAATAAAACATCGCAGAATTTTCCATCTTCTAGCATATCGAGATAACTTTGAGCATGGTCTAAGTACTTTGATTTTGAATTTTTAATAAGATCTAAGTATCTCCTTTCATAATTTTAACAAACATCTAGGTTATATTCTAGCAGATCATCTCTCCCATTATTAATTAGCAATGGTAGATCTTAATTTTAGATGTACTTTTCTGTCATGGAATGAATGATATTTTCAATGCAAGATTGCCTGCTAAAAACGATAAACATGATATCAATGCTAGAATCCATATCTTCATAGTAAGATTTGCTTTAATAGTAAGTGCCAAGAAAATATCCATTGAAAATCAAAGAGAGAAATACAATTCCAATAGACTACATAATTTTGATTTTATTGACGTAGGTTTTAAACGATTAAATTTAGTCCTTTTTGTATTGCTCATCTGCTAGTTGCTTTTTTACTCCTCTTTTTTTATCTGTATTTATTTTCTACTTTTTACGATCTTTCTTTTCTAACTCTATATCATTAGGATCGCTGTAGTTTTCTACTTAGGATTTTTCTTCTTCCTAGTCTATAGCAGAAATTTATGAGTTTGACCTTGTGAAGCTCTTTATATTTGTTTCCTTTTTTTGGAGGCTTTTTGAGTTTTTTTATAAAAGTTTTTGCTCTATATTAATTTGGTCAGTTGAAGTCAAAGAATTATCTTTCTTTACTACCTCTTCTTTTTAGCTTTGAATTATACTCTGAAATTTGTTAATTGATCCTACAATGTTTTAAACTATTTCTTAGTTGACACTGAAAAATATTGCCATTAAAAATGCAATTCTATCTTATATTTTTCCAGCAAGAGGTAATATAATTAAAGTCGAAACTCCAATTATTCCAATGCATATCCAAGTCATGATGCTTTGAAACTCCTCTTTATTGCCAATTGATTAAATCTTTTAACTTATAAAGTCGTTTGAGTACTAAATTACCTTAGAATATAAATCTAAGTTTCCATTTGTTATTAAGAAATATCCTTGTCTCTCCACCTAAGTAGCTACGTTTATATCATCATTTAGAACCATAAAGTATGATAATTTGCTTTTGAGAATTGAAGTTCCTTATTTTCTTATTAGTTAAACAATTTCATCTCCATAATCAACATATATATTAACTGACTAAGTAAGTGATCTCTCTTAGATTGTTTGTTAGTTTTAGGCCGAAAGGAAATAAAGTTTAATTTTATCAAAGCTTTATTCAATCGATTAATCTTTAAAGTCTATCTATATTTGCTGCTATCGTAAATCCTCAACAACTTTTTCAAGCTAATCTAAGTAAAAGTCTAATCTTTTAGGCAGCAATTGATTCCGAGATGGCGAATAATTCTGCCCAATATTGAATATAAGCCTTACTAATAGTCTTGATTGAGAAATCAGGTTAGACCTCTTCAAAGATAAATTGCTTATCTAAATTCCAAGTTTTGTATCTTAGAAATTACTATAGCTTAAATATACCGACACAGTGCTTGTGGCAGTAATTAGTATGATAAGAAGCACGAAAAGTTGCAAAATAAATTTCAAAGTGTAAGGTATTTTTTAGCTTTTTAAAGTTTATGATTACTAATTAAATTTTTGCATTATAGATTAGCTACTTGAGGTAGTAGTTGAAGTTTATGAGGATTAGTCAAATCCTTCAAAGTCATTAATACTTTAATCTTAAGGAGATTTAGCTATGATATCTTGTTCTAAAAGCCCGTTTTGTTTTAAACTTCCCTTATTGACTTCCATAAACTCTTTTATCTCATAAGGACTTTTGTTTCCTATATACAAATCAGTATTTTAATCAGAAATATTTTTTGGGGTTAGATTTGGCCTAAAAGCTATGACTAATAGCTTTAATTTGGCAGTTTTTAATAAGATCTCGTGTATTTTCATATTAAGATAAAGATTGCTAAGATGCATTAAAATCCTTTGAGTTCTGTCATAGCTTGTTTCAGGCTGATTCCCAAAATTATAATGATTATCAACTCTATCTTCAATTTTTAGAATATTAATTGTGTTTTCAATTTTCAATCTAATATCGAATTCCCTTATCCCTTATCTATAATATGTTTTAATATCTTGAGGGTCCCCTTCTATATAAAATAAATCATCAAGAGTTGGTTATGAGCCATTTGTTTAGCGATAATCTAGAAGAGCAGTAGCAGTAAGTGATGTCATTTAGTAAAATTTTTCATTAACTTCGTATATGTATAGGTTATCGTCTGCTAAAACAATACCCATTTCTACTTCTTCATTCATATCTTCAAATAAAATTGGCTGCCTAATAAATTCGGCCATAAAAATCATGCTTTCTAAATTGTTATGATGCACCGATAAAAATGTTTTGACTGGTATTATATATCCGCTTTTCTTTTTTATATAAAGTTCTCTTCTATTGTTTATCATTTAATTTTTTCCGTGCTAAAAGAACTTTTAAATAAATGTGTAATGATTTTCAGAGATGTAAATTGGCATAATTTGGTTTATTAACATTCCTTAGCATTCTTAATGAGAGTAATCAATCATTCTGCAAAATTATTTATTGATGAAGTTTATTTCCATTGGTTTCTTTAAGTTTAAATTGCAAATAAGTAGGCCTTTTTCTTCAAAATCTTGATATTTATTTTTATTTGCGAATTTCATATTTTATTAAGATATTCTCAGTTTTTGTATCTCATGAGCATGCTCATCTAGTTTAAAAATCACAAACTTGTAGAATAATGACATTTAGTAATATATTTTAGGTTCTTTTTTTTCGCCTTACTTCTACTCAATTTCTTCATAGAGCTCCATAATCTCAATGATATTGCTTGAGATGCTAAGACCATTTTGAAATATGTTTTTATTATCCTTATTTTAGTTAAGTGATAACCAAAATTTTGAGATATCATCGGAAATATATTCAAGCTTATTCTCAAATTTAGTTTAAAGTCTATTAACATCCAGCATTTGGTGAAGCTGTATCTGAAAAATTTGATCGTCTTTTTAATTTTTGATGCTTAAAACGTTTTAAAAGAAGTTCTTATGCACTAACTTTTGATTTCTTGAAATAAAATTATCTTTTTCAAGAGAGTTGAAAAATCGAAAGAGTACAAAGTGAGTTAAGTAGTAATTATTTTGGTTGTTAAGATTGAAAGACATGATTAGAGCATAAATTCTTAGACTTAATTTAGAGTCAGCTAGCCTTTGATCTTTGCTATAAATGTGATACTTGAATATATGCTTGATAAATTTTTACAAAAATTTTCGATTCTTTTTTATTTTAGGCTAATTAGGTTTTGGAATTTTGTTATGATTAGCTTAGATTGACTGTTACAAACCAGAATTTGATATTTAAGATGATGCTTAAAAATTAGCCATTCTATAGCCTTTCTTTTTTCCTCCTTTAGCTTAAAATTTTGCATCAAAGTTTTTAAATTTGCATTCACCTACTTACGTTATACCAAATCTGTCAAGAGCTTTTTAAGTTTTAATTTAACCATTTTTACTACTGAATTCATTATATATGTCATTGAATGATTTCATTTCTTCTTCATCTTCTCCAAAATTTTCATTTTCAATCATGTTTAATTTTGAGTCAGATTATTCAGAATGTTTAACATATTAGCTCCTTTATTTGAATTATTTAAGAATTCTCTCTTCCATTCTATGGAAATGCCTCTCACAGTTAAAAACATGGTTGCAATAAAACTAACCAAGCTAGACATTACTTTAATCGTCTTTAAGATTATTTATCATTTGATAAAATCCAAACACAATTAACTCTTCTTATGAATCACTCTTTAAATCTAGTAATTTCCTACTCATCTAAATTCGCTTTGTAAACATAAAAACTATAAGGATTGTCGCAGGCAATGTTATTAGAATGTAAATTATATAGGTTGATCTCTAGATTGTATATGTAGGTATGAATAATATGAACATATGCAGAAACAAAGCATCTTTTATTATAAGTATTTTCTTAAGTTTCAAATTGAACATGTAAGACTTTCTTACTCTGACAGTAAATTTATAGATAATAATACATGAGCAGATTGAAATAAACACATATACTACTGCAATTGTTTATCTAAAATAATGAGCAAGAGATAAAGAAACTTTAAACAAACATTCCATAATGAATGGCAAGGATAATGTCTCAGACCACGGTAAGATATCATTTGGACATAGAATGTTGAAGAGCTTTGATTGAAAGTACTGAATCACAAATAAAATTATCAATGAAAAAGTGTTCAAAGTTATATGTAAATACTTCAGACCATCATCTGATGTAAACATATTGTCAATTGTAGTTAGAATAAGGTATGTGAATAAAAATGTTCGCAAGGAAATCATTATATAGGAAAGTACTCTAAAGATAAGTTTCTGTGCTCTGAAAAATTCATCATCATAGTTCTTAAACACCATTATAATTATAGTCGCTGCAAAAGAGCACTCAAATGAAAATATGACTACTTCCTCAAAAAGATTATCTGTTTTTATATCATGTAGCAATATTTTTTCTACGATAGAGTCTATCTTAAATGGAATAAGATTAAGCTAACTGTATAAATTTAGTAGCAGTACAAACTGAAGTATAGTATCAATAACCACGAAAACATAATAAGTCATTGGAGAAATTACTGTATTATTTATCAATGCCCAAAAAATAAGAGAAAGCTTATCCACCTTTTTGGTCTATTTGTTTAAATTTAAGTCAAGATTAGAGTCCATAATTAAATTTTTATTATTTTGATTTCAAATGCCTTATGATTTAATTTATGCTTATTTTTACTATTCCTCTTAAAAAATTCAAATTGGTATCTATGGGGTTTTGGGGTTTTGGGGTTTTGGGG